CCTTATTTTCTGAAGGTCTTTACGTTTTGGAGCTAACCCTATGACGTATCGATATTGTCCCAAAAAAACACCAACTAGGTTGACCCATGTCTTGATCTACTCTATATTCAACTGGTTATACCACACTACAGCTGGCCCAACAAGACTATCATGAAAGTAATGAATCAACATATTATCGTGATTTAAATACCCTTCCATCTTTCTGTAAAACATCTTTAGATGAATTAGGGGACAACTAGTGCCATCATATTTCTCAAAATTAGGTACCCTAAATTCGTGTGGGATGACCAAATCAAGGACCAAGCTGAGTTCTCTAGCTTCTAACTCCTTGTGAGAGGTATTAACAACCTTCATATCTCTGATGGCTTTATTCAACCACTTGAATTTGTCTTCAAATTGCTCATAATTGACGAGGCTCTTCCCTAGGTTTGAGTGAGATGCTCATGGGTAGGTTATTATTCTCGACGTATTAGTCTGATGAGAATGGTATCCTTTATTAGTGATTTCCTCTCTACCAACAGCCTTGGTCACCAGCACATGGATAATTTGATTCGATACACCTTGCAGAGAACCCGAAGCTTGATTCCTCATATCTTGTTGTGACTCAACTAACTGCTCTTATAACTGATCTTGTTATTCTTCATTAGATTACTCCATTATTTCTATTTGTTTGTTCATAAAGATGAGGAGTAGTATGAATGAATGATCTTGGTATTACTGTCACATAACCTCCCATAAGTTATTTCCCTGTTTTCATAACTAATGCATGTAAAATACTTAAATATATGCAATGTAAATGCAAATCAAATGCGAAAAGGTGTCATTCTAGAGTGACCATCTTAAAACAATTTTCATTGAATACAAAGGTTTTGGTACATCAAACAGACTTTACATATAATGAATATCTTTCACTCCTAACTTTTCTATCTCCTTCAAAAGTCAATTTAACTTCCAATCATGCTCGGGTGTTGAGTCGTCAATCTACTTCAATTCCCTTGCAAAGCCAGCTAAATCAACCAATTTGTGAGCCACATTACTTATTTGGGTTATAACTTCCTTCATGACATTGTCCTTTTCCTCTATCTTGAGTGTCGATTCTCGGAGCTGTAGACATTATTGTTGAATCTTCCTTGTAAGAAAGTCTTTATGGTTATGAAGCTTCTGTTTAATATCCCTACAATCACCTATAATCTTCATCAACTTATTGTTATTAGCTCTAGTGGTTTCCAGCTCAGCATCATTCTCTCGCTTGTGGCGTTGATATGAAACTTCCATATTGGCAATTGACCTATTTAACATCTGATTTCAGCTTGATATCTTCCCAAATCATTAACAGTTGTATTGTACCTTTTTTTTCTACAATCTGTAAATCATAAGAAAACTTCTCAGATCGACCTTCGTGCACCTTGCAATTTATTCTACATTGTTCAACATCATTTTTCAGTTTAGTGACCCATGTTATCCATTCCTCTGGGACATTTCCTATACCAACAAATTTAAACGCTTGCTTGTTCCTTTGAAAATCATCCCTGATGTTGGGAGTAGACCATCAAATACCAACGATTTCTTCATGCATGCTTTCTTTTCATCTTTCTGAACTTCTACAGTTTTCACTATTTCCTTGGTGTTTCCAAACAACTTGTTGACACGACCAATAATTGTGCGTGATTTCTCATATTGGCTAGGATCAGCAGGTTCTAAAGTAGTCCATTGCGTATTTAACACCTTGAGATTGTTTTCATTGAGCTCTTTCTTTTCTTTGTTAGAAGTCCCTCTTCATTTGGCCAAAGCATCTATTTTATCTATCATTTTGGACATCTACTCTTTCATCTATCTTATCTCATTGTGATCTTCGTCATACATATGATCTTTGTGTGCACAACTCTCTAGCATTCTCGAAGCTTTCTCAGGATGCCATTTCTCGGCTGTGTTTGATCATAAAACCCCTTGTCCTTCATGAAAACCTTTTACTATGATGACCACTCACAAATCAACACCTTTTGATTATGTCATGATCATGCAATACAGACAAAGAGAAAAAACATAAAAAACAAGTTAATACAAATAAGATAACAAAATGACAAAAAACAACAATAATAAAATAAATTAATTAATAAGCTAATGCAAAATAAGAATTCAAATTTTAATGCAAATGCACAAGGTGTTAATTCCAATTCCAAAAGTGACCACTATAGAATAACCTTCATTTAGACAACAAGATTTCATTACACCATGTAGTCAAAATAAAATTGTGATTCTTCATTTCTTCATTTTCTGGAGCCGTACTCCTAAGTTGTCAATGTACGTTATCACATTTAATGACGTCGGATGTTGAATTTTGAGATGAACGGTATTCTCGTCCTTGGTATAACTGTATCTATCTTCTGAGGGAACATATCGGCTTTTTCATCTTTAAAGGAAGTCTTCAATCAGCTTCAGATTTCTATATTCATCAAATGTCCTTCTTCATGGATCATTTGAACATCTTTGGATCTCCCGATTTTGACTACATGGTTAAGAATTTATTGTCTCATTATGACTAGCCTTCTTATTAGTTAATTACTTACGAATTAACACCTTTGGATGACATGAAGATGAAAATGCAATAAAATCAAAATAAAATAGACATAGAATGAAAATGGGTTAGTACATATAGGATAAATAACAATATAATAAGTACCGTATTCATTAAATAAAACTACCCTCACATGCTGACTACCCAATCATGCTTTAGTAGATCCTACCCAACATGATATCTACCCACATGCTTTGTTATTAAAAAATCCTAACCGCATGATATCTAATTCGCATACTGGTTTGAAAAATAAACCTAACTGAATGATCTCTAATTCACATACATTTATTCAAAAACCAAATTAAATGACTCAAAAAGCTTTTCCTTGTGTACCCTCCTCATGAGACTCTTAAGGTTTGGGTTAGACTCAACCTAAATTCGGGCTCTATGTTCACTATATGTTGGGTTATGTTCTAAAGTAATAGGTTCTTGAATTATCCTTACTGGTGCCCCCTTGGGCTACCAAACCTTGAATCTTTACCCATTATAGGGTTTTAGGGATCAAGTTCAATTCAAGGGAACACACCCCTTATGTCTGTGCGGAGGTGAATATCATCACTAGGACCATAAGGCGTGAGCTCCAGGAGCGATCCACTATCCCATATGGAGGTGAAAACTTCACGAGGGAGTAGTCTCTCACTCCTACTTAAATAGGATAGAGCGGGGTTTTAACTCATGTCATGATAATGCAACTATGCAGTGTGTGAGGAAAAATGAAAAACACACAATCATACAACAATCAAATCAAACCTCAAATTCCTTTTAAAACACACAATTAATCTGAAACCATTAGCAAATATATCATTACAACTATTTAATGGTTAATCAAATTACAAATCAAAATGAAAACAACACTTATTTAAAACCAAACAAGGGATCAAAAACCAAATTAAAATGAACTTATAACTTTCATTTGAAAAGATAATTAATTAAACGACTATAGGCCTGACTCTCTTAAAAAGTCCCAAGCGGAGTCGCCAAGCTGTCGAAATGATTTTTTCTTAAGAAATGAGATTTTAAAAATCACACATTTTTAATTATCTCATTTGATTAATTTTTAATTAAAAGTGAATATAATTTAAAAAACCCCTCATTTCAAAAAATATGGGATTCTCTTTACGATAAAAAATATATTGTTCGAGGAGTCTTCAACAATCTTTGATTAGGGTGTGATTGAGCACCCAAAAATGTTTTGTCATTTTAAATAAAAATTAATTTTAATTAAAAAAAGAAATTAAGATCTGCGTTACTAGAAAATGAGTTGAGAAGTCGATTACGCGTGGAGAAGGATTAACACCCCCACAACGCCCTAAATCGGTACCTAGTTGATTAATTAATGTCTTTGCAATGAAATCTACAAATTTGACTTTAATTTGATTTATAATTCTGTAAAACAAAAAAATGTGAATTTTATAATATTCAAAAGCACTAAAATAGATTAAATTAAAATTATCAAGCCTTTAGAAGGATAAATAATTTTTGATTATTTAAAAAATATCGAGACCAGATCTTAGATGAGTTCTAACAACTTTTTCTCGACAAAATTAAATAGTCGAACATTTCATTTTTTTAATTCCCAAATTTTAAAGTGACGAATCATTTTTTTAGGTGTCACTGATGGGATACACTTTTAATTCAAAATCGTCAAAAACAACTCTCTAATGAGTTAAGACAAGCCACTCAAAACAATTTTAAATTAAAAGGGTATTACCCTTAATCCAATTATATGATAGGAGTCAAGTTATGCACATGAGGATACCATACAAGAAATAAAAAAAAAATGCCATGCAACTTATACATAATTCATTTTTCATACTTGCGTGCTTGAATTCACTAATATTCAAAACATAAAGACATACCTAATTTTAAATTAAAAAAATGACTAAGTCAAAGGATTTAAAATACAATAAACCTAAATAAAAATAACTAGAATACAAAAATAACCCAAATTAAGTGGTCTCTATGTAATTTTTTAAAATACTAATCCTAAATGTTTAAGGATTAAAAGTAACATAAAAAATTAGAGTTCAAATGTCTAAAACAATAAAAGTTAAATACAATAATACTACTTGGGACCGAAATTAAATGCAGGTAAAATAAAGGAACGAAATTAAATACATGAAAACATTCGATTAGAGACTAAAATGAATTTAGAAGAAAACTCAAATGAACAGTAGTTCAAAGAATCCAAAATTTTTAACTAAAACCTAAATCTGGAAAATAAAAAATCAGGACAAATTTAAAATGTAAAATTTCAAAAACAGACTTTACATGTGATGGAAATGCAAAAAAAATTAAACTTAAGAGGACTAAAACCTAATTTACCCTAAAGAGTTAGTGGCTAAATGAATAATTAACCCAAAAAGCATAATATATAACCTATACTAAAACTTAAACCTAAGCTAAACTAATTACTCCTAGCACAAGCAATGACCGCTCATTTTCTTCTCCACTCTCCCTTTCTTCTCGATGGAAACCAGGGGCCATAATCCATGGCCACCAACCTTCGGTCGAAACCCTTACCCAAAGCCTCCCTCATCACTGACCATATTTCGTCATCACTTCGACTAAGGGAGTCCAAAAATCCTGAGAACATCCGTATATCTCTCTTCTATTGAAGCACTCGAAAACCCTTGGCCACCATACACCTACCGTAAAGCGACGCTACTCTCCTTTGACCAAAATTGCCAAGAGTCTTCACCGACGAAGAATCTGATGATAGGTAAACTCACTATTCCCTTGTTTCATTTTCTATTTTCGAGATACAACCCCCATTAACAAAACCTTTTAAACACCAAAAACGAAAGGATGCAAGAGGGATTTTAAAGTTACCTTTGAAGATCGAAGGATTTTCTGTTTTGGTGAAGAAGACCACTGTTTACTCCTCTGAGGTAAGGTTCTCTCTAAACTTCGTTTCTTTTTCCTGTTTTTTCATTTTTTTGGTTATTCAATTTTTGCTTTTCTTCGAGTTGTTGTTTGTTTGCTTTCAAAATTGGGAAAATGCTCAACGAGTTCTTTGTGTACTCTTTGATTCGAGAGGAAAGGAATGGGAAACACTTTGCATTGCTCTCTGTATTCGAATGAGTGTGAAAAATTTCGTTATTACCTTTAGTAAAATAAATCGACGAAAAGATATATTGCTTTCTCTGAAAAATGAAAGGGGAAAAGCCTTCTTTGTATTCACTGTATTTTCTTCATATCAAGGAAAAATACCCTGTTATATTCCTTGTCAATCCAGAAAATGGGAATAGACCCCTCCAAAACTACCTCTCCAATCCTTATTTACAACTGTTTTTTCAATATGAAAAATAACCCCCATTACAAACTATTTTTTCAATATGAAAAATAACCCCCATTACAAACTGTTTCATTCAGTTTTTTTATCACCCCATGTTGTGATGAATTCCTCTTAATAAAAAATGGCCTCCCCACATTACTGAAAGAATCCCATTTTGTTATTTCCTGTTGTAGGTACTTTTGAAACGACTTCAGCAAGAATAGAACAACTAACTTATGGGACTCGAGTTTGCCATTGGTCCGGGTTTACTCCAAATCGGGTCTTTATTTGGGTTGAATCAATGTTGCCTTGTTTGTGCCCCAGACACATCGAACATCTACACTATGCCAATGCATCATCTTAGTAGACTAAATAGGAGAATTATTGCTAGTGCGTTACTATCATTATTAGCTTATTTTTGAACCTTTTGCTCAATCACATACTTCAAACCCTCGATTACACACATCTTATACATGCACTACATTTATTCACCTTTATAAGGAAGGAGTGGCGTGGCATCAATCGAACCTTACAATCATCAAATCAATAAGAATGACATCCTAGTCGCATGTATACACCTTTTAACTTGAAACAAGTTCAATGTAGTCCTAGAATTGGCTAAACATGTAGCTCTTATACCAATAAATGTAAGATCTCTTTATTGTGTCCAACCCCAAACACAAGTTCGATATGTCACAAAACATTAGGAGACAATTTACATTTGAAAACTGGTAAAATTTTGTTTCTATCAAAAGTTTACAATTCTTAACTTTTATTGTAAAATAATTTTTCATATAAAATCAAAATATAATAAAATTCTAATCTCATTTTGAAATCCAATTTTAGGCATCAACAATACAATTTTATTCTTTTTCATATCATAAATAAAATTATCTATAAACTATCTCATTTAAAATCCAATTACTTAATATTTAATATTACCCATACTTATAATTTGCATATATTTCTTACTAATATACATGCCAGTTAGAACCTTTAAAACACCATAAGATGCCTTTAATGTTAACTGAAAATATTCTTTGTTGACTGATGCCAAACTCAACTCCTTACTCCTCTCGCATTCTTTTACTTACGCGTGGAAATTATCACATACTAAGTATAAACTTAGTGAGGCAATCATAGAAATATTCAATGCAATTCAACACATAGATGAAATGAGTAACAATATTCAATGCATTATGATCACTTTATATGTATTCCAATCATGTTACCATATATCAACATGATATAAACTAAATATAAAATTTCTTACCAATATATTTGCCATTTATTCCATAATCTCGTAAGCTTATTCACATGTTTATCATTTATTAACCAATAAACAATAGCCCAAAATATAAACCTACGAGGACCCCGGTATTAGAGTCAAATATATGCACTGTAGTGTTAAACCTGCATTATTCTTATGCTCTAGTGTTGATACGGACATGACACATAAGGTTGTGCCCACCACCTGCAATAAGTGTCCTTGCACACTATAGTGCTAAAATCTGAAGCTGTTAGGCTCCATGGCATGCCATCAATACAATTGACCTTCAGTGCCATTCATGGCCATATAGTCTACATGTATTTAATCCATCTATGGCAAAGTATATTAATATAGTTTCACATTGGGTAGTTCATACACGAAATAACATCGTATATATATGCATAATAAACATCATATAGAATAACTAATGATCAATGCATTTTATTCTCAACTTTTGACATATTTAGAATATGTAAAATATATGATAAATGACATAAATATCATGCCAACGTAGATAAGGTAGACTTATCACAAGTCCTACCCGATGATTTATAAAACATCTATGTATAATGTTATGCGTGCCTTGTACTCACTTTGAAATTGTAAACTAGTCAATATAAGTCTCATTAAGCTTCAACTTAATCCTTAGCTTTCAATTTGGTTTGATCCCAATTTTTATCCCAATTTCATATTATGGTAGTTTGCACTACATTTAAATAAATATTATTTTGTATTATTATACACACATAAAAATTATTCCGTTTATACCACTGGAAACTATATCTCAACTAAGAATTCAGCCATATAAGGCACTCCTTCTAGTTTCATTTGTACAATTTATAGTGAATTTTCAAAGTTGACTTACAAAATCTGTTGCCCTGTTTTCTGACCTATCCTTGATTAAAAATTCATATCTTTTTGTATACGCCTCTAAATCAGTGTCTGTTTGTTCTAAATAAAAATAAAATGATGTACAAATCCAAAGGTATAAAAATCATCCCTTAATCATTTATATAATATTTATGGTGACTTTATAAACTTACTATCCAGACACAAATCTAGGTAGATTTTACCAATTTACAATTTCAGCTTTTTCTTTAGTTCTACTAGCTCACCAAATGCACATGTATGCATAAACCACAAATCACACAGCAATTGAGAGTCACTTCTCACTATAGTAACTCCGTCATCGGCTAATCGTAAGCCAATGTTCGTGTGATGACATAACTACAAATTAAATTTGCACTCACCTAGTGTCTTGAGCTTGTAAACCTTCCTTAGAGATTCAGATTTCATCCATAAACTTCCCCTTAGCTTTAATAATGTTGATCTTGATTTCAAGCACGCAATCTAAATGAGCATCATTACAAAACATATAAAAATTCAAGCCACATGTTAGAAACTTATGAATGTAGGCACACAATAAAAAATAAATTCCTAAAATCTTTCGAAGCATATTATGGTTCAATGTAAATGTTGACCTTAATACTTACAGTTTACCAATCATATTCCTTTTTATCCAAATTTCATATAACATTTCACTTAAGTTCCCAACGATTCCATATTTGTGATTTGAACCTCAATTTGTACCAACTTCCCAAAATAATCCAATTTCACATCCTAACTTCAATTTCAACACTCAAACATTAATTTCGAGCATAATATATCAACTATTGCATATTTACACGTTAACCCAAATCGAATAGGTCCCCTGACTTTCATAAAATTATAAAAAGGTCTCCATAACTTTCTAAGTCTTGAAGAATCCTTACTACTTTGTCATTGACATAGAGATGTCATAATTGATACATGATTATATTGTTAGAGAACAATGTATTGGATTGACCCATCATGAGCATATATCTTGGATTTTTATGTAACAGTCATAACATTGCTCATGGTGATGACTATATGTATGATCCTCAGACTTGAGATCAATATCATCCTAACATATATTGTTGTATATTTTGATACAGTTAAACATGCTCCGTAACTAGTTCCACTATAAAGACTGTTATTGAATATATCTCGATATATGTAGTGGGGTGTATATGGTTAAGATATGATTTGCCTTCCTACATAATAGGAAATATATCACAAGCCACTTGATTGAGTGAGACTAGAAATGCATGGCCATGCTTGAATAAGTTGATATATGATATTACAAATTATTCGTTTATTATAGTCTACTTTAGATATCAAGAAACAATATATGGGCTATACAAGTGTGACTATTCTAAGACTTGTGCTTATTCTAGATATAATGGAAAAAAGGATGTAATGCATAAAAAAAGTTAATCACGAATATGATATGTTGAATCATAATTTCTTGTAACTTAGGTAATAATGATATATTACTAGATGTCACTCATTGTATGTAATATTAGAATTGTTCTAATAATGACTACTAACGTTACAAGAACCTATAGGTTCACACCCTAGGATTGAAATGAGAAAAGATGTACAATTTGTTGTATGTTACTAAAATTATATGTATAGTTAAGATATGTTTATTTGATATACATATGATTTTAATTATCCCAAATATAGTAAATAAGCATTAAAAGAATGTGATTTAGATTACAACTCTTTTAATTAATATATATAATTCAGAATAATTAAATAAGTTTTTAAATAAAAATTAAAGATTGTAATTTAGATTATAAGTCTTTAATGTATATTTAATTTGAATTAATTAAATAATATTTTATTTATTAATTTGAAATAACTTTAAAACCCCTAAGATGTTAGGGTAATTGATATATTTAAAAGGAGACAAGGTCTAGCAGCCGTTTTTCACTTCAGCCATTTTTCTCAAAACATATTTTGGGATAAAGAAAACTGTGCTCTCAATCGGGTGAACTAAGTAGAGGTCAAGACGTGTTTTCGTAGAGGCTTTTGATTCGAACAGTTTGTGATCAGCACTTCTCGTTGCTATCCTTGTTGTTTTTTAAGGAACCCGCTTTAAGTATTCGTATCCCTTCCTCCCGATTTTGGTTTTACGTACTTGGATCGCTGGTGAGACCGTCGAGTTTTATTTTCGATGCGCCGTGGGGTGCGCAGACAGTCCCAACAATATCAAGATATATTCAATAACAGTCTTTATAGTGCAACCAGTTACAGATCATGTGTAACTGTATCAAAACATACAATAAAATATATTGGGATAACATTGATCTCAAGTCTGAGGATCATACATATAGTTATTACAATGAGCAATGTTATGACAATTACTTTATAATCCAAGACATATGCTCATGGTGGGTCAATCCAATGCATTGATCTCTAACAATATAATCATGTATCAATTCTGACATCTTTATGTCAATGAAAACTCGTTGTCAACAATTAATAACACGTTAGTCTTAAGCGTATTATTATTGTCCATGCTCATAATAATACTTGATTATGAATATTTTAATAATAATAATAATAATGTTATTATATGGACTTTATTATCTTTCAGTTTATATTAAACACATACATATAACTAAAATAATAGTGGCAATGCCTTTATTCAATAAAATCAGTAAATAAATGTTTTATTACAATCATCATATGATAGGTCTTTGGGCATACTCTAAAAGAGTTGTTGTGTCATCTTGAATCAGTGGACAATCATCTGTTGGATGATTAGGTAATACACTTATTCCATTTAATCTGTTTGGTCCTATATTTCCTATAACAAGAGAGTTGATTACTTTAGTTAATTTATCTATCTTATTTTCTAAAGAATATGAACTTATCTCTTGAACCTTTCGAGGAGGTTCATTAGTTGGACGAAACTGTTGGGAATTTGTGGCCATTGTAGAAATTAAATCCCTAGCCTCAGTATGAGTCATGTCCACCAAAGCTCCTCCACTGGTAGCATTGATCATCTTCATTTCCAAGGGAGTTAATCCTTCATAAAAAGATTGAAGGAGTGTTTGTTCGGTTAGCCCAAGTTGTGGGAAACTAGCACATAATTTTTTAAATCTCTCTCAGTAGTCATAGAGTGACTCTTTATCAAGATGCTTGATTCCATGTATTTTTCTTCGAAACTCATTTTACTTTCGCTGCAGCGAAAAACCTATCAAGAAAAAAATGAGTCATTTGAGCCCATGTAGCGATAAAATTTGGGGGTAGATAAAATAACCACTCCTTAGCCGAATCGTCTAAGGAAAAAGGAAAAGCTCTAAGTTTGATTTGATCCGTAGTTATTCCTATGGTCTCATGCTAGAGTAGACCATGTGAAATTTCGTGAGATGTTTAT